GGGTGAGGCTCAAAGTCACAGTGCTTACCTAACATGCAGGAGATCCTGGATTCAATCTCCCATGCCCCCGGAGGAAAAAACAAAACAAGATTTATGACTCCTACCCAGGAGCAGTGGTGCACATTTGTAAACCCAGCGACGTGGGAGGCTGAGGCAGGAGGAACATGAGTTCAAAGCCAGCCTCAGCAAAGGTGAGGCATTAAGCAACTCAGTGAGACCTGTCTCTTAACAAAATACTAAATAGGGCTGGGGATGTGGCTCAGTGGTTGAGTGCTCCTGAGTTCAATCCCTAGTAGCCCTCCACCTATCAAAAATGAAAAGATTTGACTCTTATGGTAAACTCTAAATTATCTTTAAAAGGGATGCATATTACACTATAAAAAGAATATAATCGAGTACATAGTCATAGATTATTTTGAGAGGAAAACTTTTAGGACTTTTTCTTTCCTATATTTCAATGCTAAGTTTAACAGTTATAGAAAGATATTTAAATATTATAAAACTTTCTTCTAAAAGGGATAGCTATTTCTAATTAACTCATTCAAAATTCCACACTTTGGTAAATAATTTTCAATCTTACCACCTAACTTCTTAAAGTCACTAGTACCTCAATCTTTCTCAGTCAGGAGTTAACCCCTTCTCTTATTTTTTCTTTAGAACTGGGGCTTGAACTCAGGGGCACTCAACCACATCCCCAGCCCTATTTAGAGACAGGGTCTCACTGAGGTACTTAAGTGCTCACTTTTGCTGAGGCTGGCTTTGAACTGTCGGTCTTCCTGCCTCAGCCTCCAGAGCTGCTGGGATTACAGGCATGCACCACCGTGCCTGGCTAATCTCTTCTTTTTTAATACTTGTTTGGTAATTGCAGAAAACCCAATGTAACATAAAAGTGACCATTTTAATCATTTTTAAGTATAATTCAATGATGTTAAATGCATTTTCAATGTTGTACAGCTATAATTACTGTCAATTTCCAGAACTTTCTTATAATCTCAACCAGAAACTCTGTACCCTTTAACAGTAACTCCCTATACCAGTGCCTGTTAACCTCTATTTTCTGACTCTGTAAATGTACCCATTCTAGATATAACATATAACTGACTCATACAATATTTGTACTTTTGGAAAACTTATTTCACTTAGCTTGTTTTTAAGGTTCATCCACATTCATGGATATATCAGAATTTCATTTCTTAAAAAACAAAAAAATTCCATTTCCTCTTAAGGCCAAATAATATTCCATTGCATGTATATAGCACATTTTGTTTATCAATTCATCTGTTAATGGACATTTGGGTTGTTTTCACTTTAATATATTCTAAAATAAAACAAAATATAACAATAATCAGAATCAAAGAGATTCTTTAAAATGTTGGAACAGAGGGAAAAATACAAAGTGAAAAGACATAAAAGATATACTGAGGTCTAAGGAATGAAAATAAAACAAGTAGCAGCACACTTTCAATAAGCATACTCTGTGTTTCATTCTATAATCTCTAAAAACTGTAAAGATTATAAGACTTGACACTTCATTGCAGCAAGAAAAGTTATTTACTACATTGGAATATAATCTTCTAACTATTGATATTTTTCATATACTCATTAACAAGTAAGTTTTCAATGCCTACTATGGCGATACACAAAAAGAAGAGATAATATCACTATCCTCACAGAACTACTTTAATGTATGGATGGATATCTCTCTCTCTCTCTCTCTCTGGTGGTGGTGCTGGGGATGGAATCCAGGACTTTGCACATGTTAGGCAAGCACTGTACCACTGAGCTATATCCCTAGCACTGACTTTTCTTTAAAATTACAAAAACTTATCATTTTAAACCTTAGTGCTATAAAGAACAAGAAATACTATAATAAACTAAAACAAGAATATGTGATCTAGACTACAAAGTCAGTCAAAATTCTTTAAAAATGAAAATTTCAAACTGATTGCCTAAAGAGTTAACCTCACAAATAAAGCTAAGTGGTCCTCATGTACAAAGGCTGAGATTGATGTAAATTCCCTACAAAATTGAAAATGACAAAACATAAAAGTTATATAAAACTATGAGAATAGATAGAAATATACTTAACTTGGAGAGGAGGTTATCAGAAAAAAACAAACATTAAGGAAAAAAACTCCAAAGAGGAAAGAAAGTAAAAAAGCTTGTGGTATAATTAAAGTAACAAGTTTCAAGAAGGAAATAGTACTACAGTGTAATAATAATAATAATTCTGAGAAGTAAAAGAGGCAAGAACTTAAAATCCAATTGATTTTGTAAAATGTAAGTCACAGATGACCCTGAAAGAACTGCTTTATGGTCACAAAACTATCTAACCACATCAGAGTTTAACCAAGAAGAACTACTTATAAACTGTTAACACGTGAAGCCAAAGACATTTCTAATGACTTCACAATTTTGATGCATATCAAAAATAAGAAATTCCTTTTTGTCCTTTTCTATTTATTTGTTACTATTCTTTACTTATTCACTAATCTTGACTCCCTCTGGAAATGATAATGGAAAGTTTAAAGTCCTAGAGCATTACTACATTAGACTTGTATGACACTGCAATGCAATTTCAGACCAAAGAGATTATTGGAGCTTGTTCTCTATATATCAGATTTCCTGGTGTATTTGCCTGGTATGTATCAAAATCTTAATTTATAAAAAGAAACAAAATCTCCTACCCATTCCCACTCTGTGTGATCCAACAGTGCTATTAAAGAATATTAGAATACCTTAACAAAATTTCTCAGTCACAAAAATACTATTATCTTCTCCTGTAGCTTATAATTGATCTATGATCAAATCTTTTTTTTAATATTTTATTTTTTAGTTATAGATGGACACAATATCTTTATTTTATTTTTATGTGATGCTGAGGATTGAACCCAGGGCCTTGCACATGCTAGGCAAGCGCTCTACCACTGAGCCACAACCCCAGCTCTGTGATCAAATCTTTTTCTGAATTAGCCCTAATCTAATAAATCTAATTCAAATAAAATTTAGAAATATAATGCTAATAAATTAAGAGTGATCATTTTTTTAAATGATTACAAAAGAGACTTTGAAAAGCTAATTTTTCAAATGCATTTTCATGTTTTAATTCATGCATGCTTATACTCAGCGTTTTTAGGAACATGTTATATAAAGTAGGATATGATCATTTATATTTCCTCTTTTCATAACCATAAAGCAAACCTAATTTATTTACTGCCTACTGAAATTTGGCAATGAATTAAAACAACCAAAAAAATTAATTGCTTTAGAAAAGAAAAGCCAATTTTAAAAACTCAAGTAGAACTTCATGTTAAAGAAGAAAACAATGACAAGTAAAATCTAGTATATGAAATGGTTATTAATCAAGAAATATGCTGCTGGGTGCAATGTCACACACCTGTAATCCCAGCTACTTGGGAGGCTGAGGCAGGAGGATCACAAGTTCAAGGCCTGGCTGGGCAATTTATAAAGTCCCTGTTGCAAAATAAAAAAGGGCTGAGAATATAGTTCAGTGGTAGAGCACCACTGGGTTCAATCCCCAGTGCTCACCCGCCTCACTGCTCCAAAAAGGTGCTGTGGATTTAGTTTAGTGGCACAAAGCTTGCCTAGCATGTGCAATGCCTGAGTTTGGTCTGGGTGTGGGGGGTGAGGGGCAACAAAAGAAAGGGGGGGCAAAGAAAGAAATAAATTGTTGTCCATTTGCAAATATCTACACATAGGCCACTGTTTCTCAATGGAAACACTATTGGCAACTGAAATGAATGACTACTCAATATGGACTGTGCAGTACCAAATATTTAGTATCCCTGTTATCTACCATTTAAATATCACAGTGTAATCCCCTCACCAATCACTGTAATTATCAAAAGTAGGACTCCCAACATACTGTGATCTCCTTTCCCTAATGGTGTTACACAAAACCAACCATAGTTGAAAAACACTAGAAGTAGTTTCAAAGCACAGCAAACTTCCTACCTTAATGAAAACCTTTTTAATAAAAGGGGTTGTGGCTCAGAGGTAGAGCATTTGCCTAGCACACATGAAGCACTGGGTTCAATCCTCAGTACCACATAAAGTAAAATAAAGACATTCTGTCCACCTGTAACTAAAAAAATACATATTAAAAAAAAAAAAGACTGCCAAATTTGTCTTACTAAGCAAAGCAAACAACATAATTTCAACATTTCTTAATGACAGAGGTTCTTGATTATGAACAGTAACTGTTATGTGTTATTGTAATATGTATCTAAGAAACTAAAAGTATATGTTATCTTTGATGCTATCTATGCCCTATCTATGTATTTAAACATTAAAAGATTTTTTAATTTTTGTTTTTGGACATAGGGTTGTTCCAAGCTTCCCAAGCTGGTCTCAAACTTGAGAGTTCAAATGATTCCTTTGCCTCAGCCTCCCAAGTAGCTAGGACTACAGACATGAGTCACCATACCAAGCTAAGAATTTTATCTGACACATCTTGTACATTATATTTTTTCTATTTATTTACTTATTAATGCATGCTGGGAATTAAACCCAAGGCCTTGAACATGCAAGGTAAGCATTCTACCCAATGAGCTATTTCCCCAGTCCCTATTTTATTCCTTTTGGCTAATGTTATTCCTTCCTAGAATGTCTACCTCTAGCATTCTCTCTTAAGTCACAGTAATTTTTATCTGCTAATGACCAAACATATTAAATGAAAAGTCTGAATTGATAGATGAAGGCTTAAAGATGGCTCCAGGCCTCCCTGAGAATTAAAGTGCATGGACTTGAAAACAGCTACCGTCTTTCTCATTAAGAATTTTTTTTATTTACTTTTTTGTTTTTATCACTGTTATAATTTAAAAACTTCACAATGATCTGACAGCTGAATATAACACGAAGTTAACAAAGCACTTAGTACTAACTAATCAACCTTGAGGACTAAAGTACACTACTATATACTATCAAATATTCCAATCGGTATTATAATTGTTGCTAATAAAAATATTTAAATAACTTACCTGATTTCTTTTAGTCCTTCTCTCTGGATAACTTGAAGAATTTCTTTATGACTCATAGGTGTATTGGGGTATTTTTCTAAGACCTGAGAAATAAGTATATAATAATAAATTATTTCTTATTTTAACTTCCTTTCCTTTTAATTACATAGGTAATTGTATTTAATAATTGTCTTAATAGTTACATACAAAACACACATCCAGAGAATTTTCAACCCAGATCTTCTCCCCTCAATCCCAAACAGACAAATCCTGAAGCAGAAATAAATCGAAAAAGCTAAAATAATTCGAATATTCACTATTGACTTGGAAGGCTGAATAAGGAGGATCCCAAGTTTGAGGCCAGTGTCAGCAACTTAGTAAGACCCTGTCTCAAAAATAAAATAAAATAAAATAAAAGGGCTGGAGAGGGGCTGGGGCTCAGTGAGAGAACACTAGCATAGCATGTGTGAGGCACTGGGTTCGATTATCAGCACCAGATATAAATAAATGAATAAAATAAAGGTTCAGCAACAACTAAAAAAAAACCATACATATGTAAATTTTAAAAAAATAATAATACAAATAATAATAATAATAAATAATAATAAATGCTGACAAGGATGTGGGGAAAAGGGTATAATTAAAAATTTGTCAGTGAGAGGCCAGGCATAGTGACTTATATCTGTAATCCCAACAAGTGGGGAGTCTGAGGCAGAAAGATCACTCAAAAGTTCAAGGCCAGACTCAACAACTTATGAGCCCCTATGCAACTTAGCAAGATCCTGTCTCAAAATCAAAAATAAAAAGGATTGGGGATGTATCTGAGTGGTCAGGCACCATGAGGTTCAATCCCCAGTACCAAAAAATAAATTGCTGGTGGGATTGCAAATTAGTATGACCATTTTGAAAAGCTATATTCCATAGAAGACTAGAAATGGAACCACCATATGACACAGCTACTTTCACTTTTTAATATTTATCCAAAAGAACAAAAATCAACATATTATACTTATACAAGAATATCAGTGTATATAGCAGTGCAATTCACAATAGTACAATTCACAAATTATGGAACCTGTCTAGGTGTCCATCAACAAATGAATGAATAAAGAAAATGTGGTAAGGATATACAATGGAGTTTTTACTAAGTCATTAAAAAAGAATGAAGTTATGGTATTTGCTGGTATAAATAGATGGAAATGGAGAACATCATGCTAAGTGAAATTAAGACAGACTGAAAGTCAAAGATGGAACATTTTCTCTCACATGCAAAAGGAAGAGCAAAATAAGGAAAAGTGGGTGGGTTGCCCCATGAAAACAGAAGGCAAACCAGAGGAGTAGAGAAAAAGGGTTAAGGAGGAAGGAAAAGGAATGGGAAACAGGAGGAACTATGGAATGAAATTGACCAAATTACGCTATGTACATACATATAGGAATATACCACAGTGATTTTCACCTTCATGTGTGTATCTATAAAGCACTAATTGGGAAAAAAAAAAAAGAGCTAAATAAAAAGAAGGAAGACCAGTAGAGAAAAGGGAATCAAGGAGGAAAGAGGGAAAGGAAAAAGAAAATATTGGGAACTAAAGTAGAACAAATTACATTTCATGCATGTATGATTACATCAAAATGAACCCCAATATAATGCATAATTATGATGTATTAAAAAGATTTTTTAAAATAAGATAAAAATAAAAAACCCAATTTTCTAGCCAGATTACAAGAAAGGGTTTCTAGGAGGAGTTTCTAGTAGCTGTGTTATATGGTGGTTCCATTTCTAATCTTCTGTGGAATCTCTACACAGTTTTTCCAAAAGTTTCAGAGACCGGGCACAGTGGCACATGCATGTAATCCCAGCATCTTGGGAGGCTGAGGCAGGAAAATTGAGAGTTCAAAACCAGACTCAGAAATTTAGGGAGGCCCTACGCAACTCAGCAAGACCTTGTCTATACTATAAATAAAATATTTTTGAAAAGGCTGGGGATCTGGTTCAGTGCTTAAGCATCCCTGCGTTCAATTCCTGGTACTCTCCCAAATCCCCCAGGGCACTTTACCAATGAGATACATTCTCAGTCCTTTTTTACTTTACTTTGAGGCAGGGTCTCATCAAATTGCCCTGACTGGCCTCCAGCCCTTGTAATCCTCTGCCTCAGCCTCTTTAAGTAACTAGGATTACATGTGTGTGTCACTGCATCTAGCTTATCATGAAGTTGTACTTTACTCCTGGGGTCACCCAGTGCTATACATCTGTGGATTTGACCCTAACCAACATTACTATCAAGTATACCAATACCAAACATGCAAAGTAGCCACAAGGTGACACAAATGGAGGGCAAATCCAAGTAACCATGCAAAGGATCTGAAAACTAGATACTGGAATTATAGTGCACAGAAGATGAAAGAAACTTGTGACTTGAACCTAATAAGGTCAAATCCTGCTTTAAAAAACCCTACAGAGTCTACATTTTCCATAGGATATTTTTTGGGGGGTGAGGGGGGATCAAGAGTTACCAAAGATTGAACCCTGGGGCAGTAAATTATATCAGCAATCCTTTTATTTTTCATTTTGAGACAGGGTCATGCTAAATCACAAGCTGGCCTCAAATTTATGATCCTCCCAAGTTGCTGGTATTACAGGTACACACCACCACAATCAGCTTTCCCTAGAATTTAAACAAGAGTACAAAGAGTATCATAACACAGCATCAAAATGTCTAATATATAATCCAAAGTCTCTAAACACATAGACTAGGAAAAGATCAATAACTGACAAAAAAAAAAATGACAAGCAACACACAACAAACCAAAAACAAGGAAATGTTGCTAAAAGCAGCTAGTACAACTTTACTTCAAGAAGTCAGGGTAACCAGGAGTGGCCAGTGCCTTTAGTCCCAGTTTGAGAGGCTGAGGAAGGAGGAGATCACTATAACTCAGGAATTTGAGGCAAGGAACCTCCTCCCAAAAACAAAACAAGCAAAAGATTTAAGAGTGAATATTCTTGAGACAAATTAACATGTTTTATTTATTTGTACTTATATATAACATTTTAGAATGAAAAACTACAATAACCAAAACTTAAAAACTAAAAGTTTCTTAGGAGGAGGACTAAATAGCAGAATGAAGAAAAAAGAGGAAAGAGTGATGGGGGGGGGGGGGAATGAACAGTCAATGGGTCAAAATCAAAAGCTCTGACATTCATGTTATCAAAGTCACAAAGGGAAAAGACAGAGTGTATTACAGAAAACATATTGGAGGGGATGACAGCAGTAAACTTCAGAAGATCAGCAAATGTCACACAAGGCAAATACCCAGATACACCACAAACTACTGAAAACTTAAAAAAAAAAAAAATCTGTAAAGTCATCAGAGAAAAATAACTCATTCCCAATTAGGAGAATGATGATTCAAATGACTATGGGTTTTTCATCAGAAATCATGAAGGGAAGCAGCAGGAATATTTTTTTTTAATGGATCTTTATTTTATTTACTTATATGCGGTGCTGAGAGTTGAATTCAGTACCTCACACACACTAGGCAAGCACTCTACCACTGAGCCACAACCCCAGCCCAGTGGAGGAATATTTTAAATTGCAAGAAGGGACTAGGGCTGTGGCTCAGTGGTAGAGTACTTGCCTAGCGTGTGTGAGGCACTGGGATCGATCCTCAGCACCACATAAAAATAAACAAATAAAATAAAGGCATTCTGTCCATCTAAAAATACAAAAAAAAAATTTTTTTTTAAAGTGCAGGAAGAAAAAAACTACCGACCCAAAGTGCTATATCTAGCAAAAATATCCTTTAAGAATAAAGGAAAGGGCTGGGATTGTGGCTCATTGGTAGAACACTTGCCTCACACATGTGAGGTACTGGGTTCGATCTTCAGCACCACATAAAAAATAAAGATATGTGTTCATCTACAACTAAAAAAAAATATTTAAAAAAAAATAAAATAAAGGAGAGAGCTGGGGATATAGCTCAGTTGGTACAGTGCTTGCCTCACATACACCAGGCACTGGGTTCAATCTCCAGCATCACAAAAAAAAAAAAAAAAAAAAAAAAAAGAGAGAGAGAGAGAGAGAGAGAGACAGAGACAGAGAGAGAGAAATCAGGATGTTCTAAGATGAAGGAAATTACCAAAACACTTGCACTAAATTGACATCTTCTGCTAGGCATCCTGGCACACAATTATAATCCCAGCTATTTAAGAGGTTGAGGCACGAGGATCTCAAATTTGAGGTAAATCTGGGAAAATTAGTGAGACTCTGACTCAAAATTAAAATTTTAAAAAGAGGTCAGATATGCTCAGTGGTAGAGCACAGGCCTGGGTTCAATCCCCAGTACTACCAAAAAACTGACATCTTTTTAAGTCAATTCTGGTATAAATGTTCTTCCTATGTGTTTCTCTTTTAAAAGAGGAACTTCTTGAGATGGATACTGGTTGTTCTCATCATCTTTCTCTTCTAACAGATTAATGTAAAGCCATAAATTCCTTTTATTCACAGCTTTTGCTATATCCCACAAGTATTAAAATTAGTATTTTTGTTATCAGCTCAAATGGCTGTCTAAATGGAATCATAATTCCTTCCTTCACTTGTGTGCTAGTTGAAAATGTATTGATTAATTTCCCAAATTGGAATTTTCTGTCTTATCTTTTTTTTCCTAATTATCAAAGAATTCAGAACACTAACCCCAATTACTGCCCTGACCTCACCATACATGACACTTTTGTTGCTGCTGTAAATAGTAGGCACTTAGACTTATGTACTTATTTGCATCTTCTAAGAATTTGCATCGGTTCAGCACCACTTCAAGCTTCCATCTGAAATTATTTTTCTTCCAAAATAACTCATTTTAATTTAACATTCCTTCAGTGTAAAATGCTAGTAACAAAGCGGGGCATTCCTTATTCCCCAGCCAATCTTCTGCTTTTCTGTTACTCTTTGCTTTAGTTTTTACCACTTTTATTATCATATGCCAAGAAGTAATTTTCTGCTAGACATTTATTCACAGGACTCCTGGAGCATTCTTACATTAGGTCTTCAAAAATTGCTTGTGCCTCATTTTCTTTCCTCCTTGGAAAGAAAGTGTTTGACTGATGTCCCTT